TCTTGCTGCCCCTTCCCTCCCCATATGCTCGCCTCCAGCCTAGTCACCTGCCAGGATGCCCACTGAATTCAGCGCCGAGTTCCCCCTGCACACCAGGGGTACAGCTGCACTGCGTTTTGAGGGGGTCGCTCGAACCGGTTCCTGCACTGGAGCCGCTTCCCAGGCAGTAAGGAAGGTGACCCTCGCCCGCCCGGCCCCGGCTGATGGGGCAGTGGGCACATCGGGGAGCAGGTGCTGGGAACGGTGCAGAGGTACCCGTGAGGGCTTCGGGAGGATAGGGTAACGGCGGGTGAAATTCTTGCTCCACTGAAGTCAGTGTCGGCATTGCCAGCATTGCCATCCAGCAGGCACAGGTGTGTTTTTTTCCTCATGCAATTAGGAAAACAGTGTATGAAACATGGTAGATTGTTTGCAACCCACCCTGTTTGCTGCCTGTGTTAAACTTAGGCTGCGAGTCCTTGCCTTGCTGTGCTGTTGCTTCTTATTGATAAAGTTGATGGGGCTTTTAAGTCATTAGCCATAAGCCTCAAATTAGCAGGAGATGCGTGGGGTTCCTTCCCCTCTGCTTAGATAAAAGGCAGTTGGACACACCGGCTCTGTTCAAAGCAGAGCAAAGCCTCCACTGACTTCACAGGGTCCAAGATTTCTGCTCCAGCTTCAGCTCTAGATGCTGGACCACTTCCACCCCCTCTTGCTTTATTTGAGAGACCTAAGACACACAGGACTGAGGGTCTGAATGGCACGATGGTGGGCTTCTACCAACGCTTCTCATCTAATTGCAGTCGACTTTAATTTTGCCTTTTCCATTCTTAACCGGTCTTCTTAACCTGCTTCTTAGCCAGGGCAAAATTAAGCATGAGGAAAAAGGCTTTTTCAGCATTATAATTATCTACTCCCAAGCTGTATAACAAAATGGTTTACACATTTAATTGGTTTTGTCTAATATTTCCAGGTATACAGTAGTCCTATTAATGAATATCATAGCTTCATTACTGCATATCACATTTTGCTATTTGTTGTGTACCATAAAATAACATCAGCACATCAATAACTTAAATAACACAAATTTAAACTCATTTTCTGCTTGTTATAATTATGATTTTAGCCTGCAAAGGCTTTTTGATTTGTAAGACCATTCACATAACATGGAATGTAACTTTATTTGTTTTTCTTTTGTATATAATGAGACACAGAAAGCCCTTGTCATCTCTTAACAGGATACTAAAGCAGCTCTGTTTCATGAATGACAGCACAATTAAAGCTAAAAATAATAATTAAAAAAAACCTTTGTACTGTACAATCTCAAATTAAAGCAAGAAAGATAATGACAATCTTTTGCATTAGCCAGGAAACGTGATTCTCTGCCACTGGGCTTTTTTTTCTTGTTGACAATTCACAGAATGTGTATATGGGTGTAGTTATAGGTGTGTGTATACGCTATGCAGAACAGCAGTCCCTATTTTGTTGATCTAGATCTTCTAATTGTTTAGTTAAACTACCTAACTGATACAATTTAGAATACTACATTAACACATTTAACATCAAGTTTACATACTTGCGCCTTTGAAATACTAGGAACTTTTACACATTTTATTTGGCTTTGTAAGGACTGGAATATCACAGATAATGCAATCTACTTGTCTTTGAAAGAATATGGCTGTTCTCAACTAACACTCTAAGGTTCAGAGTGAAATACATTTCTCTTTATATCTGTAGCTGACTTCAGAGAAGAAAGAGTATCTTCTTAAGTGGTCAGTCTGATGTTACAGTACAGATTCTGCAGAGACAGAGATATATATTTAATGAAGGATAATTCTCTCTGGACTTTAGAGTTAAGCTGTTGCAGCAAAATTACTCCCTTTAGACTAATTTTTTCTATACAAATCTCAAGAAAAACCTATTCCAAGTATGTTTTGTAGTAGTATCTCCACATGACCAGAGGAGGGCACTTTGAACATCTTTGCACTGCCCCGGAGGCAGATGCAGAAGCACAGTGTTACCCAATGTCACGCAGTCCTGCCACCTCTTCCCACCCAGGCAGGTATCCTTCTGTCCACAAAAATACAGAATCCGTATTGTACCACAGGGCTCTGTTCTGAAAACAGTGGGCAGATATATCACTCTCTTCTTGCTAACTAGGATTTCTTCCGATTTCCCCCATCTAATTCAGTGTTGCTGTGGGTTAAATTGAGATTAACGGATAATTCCTAAAAATCACGTGAGAGGAGTTGTCTCCCCCTCCTTCCTGAACATCCCTCTGCTATTAGCCCCTGGTAATTTAGCAAATATTGATTGATTTAACCCTCTACGACTTATCCTGCTGCAGAAATTCCTTGCTTTTAACTGAAAAATGCACTTGGAAAATGCACTCTCTGAGATATGTATTGCAACAGTGCATCTTTTCACATTAAACTCTTGTAAAAGTACTGCTCCTTTCCGCCTTCTGAGGGAGGTGACTCTGCATCCCAGATCTGCTCCCCTGGCAGAGTACATAGCAGAGAAATCAACCTCTTCTCTTTTCCACTCATGACCACAGTGTGGAGTTCAGCCACTTTCCATGCAGGAAACATCCTTTTGGGTTTCATTTTGGCTAAAGGTATCAACCTTCTATGGAAAAGATTCTAATTTTGTAATCTTACTATTATCACAGACAGGTTTTTTTTGTCACCTCTCTGCTTTGTTTTGTTCAAGTTTAACGCTGAAAAATTATTAGAAAGGTTTTAGAAACTTCTTTTTTTTTAAATAAAAGTCTTTCCTCCACCCTGGGGAAACACACTGCTTATTTAATGTACTTTTTTTCCCCTCAACGTTATTCCTTTTCTCTTTTGTTTTCTTCTCGTTTCTTCTCTTTTTTCTTTCCTTTTTTCTTTTCTTTTTTCTCTTCTTTCTCTTCTCCTTTCTTTTCTAGAGCAGACAGGTACAAGAAGGAAGTTGTCTTTCATCAGCAGTCCTTTGAGATAGAGTAGAATTCAGTGAGTCCTCACCATGATAGGATCATAAACTTACTGGGTTAAACCAAGCTAACTTTCCCTAAGCTGCCAAGTTTTAGCTGCACCATACATATATGTGTTTCCTTGTGCCATTTTCTTTTCTTATAATTTTGTTTTTCTTGATGACCCTGAGCTATGGCTTCTGTCTTGTTTCTACCACTAGTCAACCTTCCTTTCTTTTCTGGTTTTGCCGATATAGGCCTCAAAGAAAAAATGGCAGAAGAGCACAAAGTAGCTGAGGTACATGAGAGAGGACCAGATGATGTTCTGCACGTGGGAATGGCACTGGCCCTGCTGCATCCAAGAGAAGACCAGGTAATTGATCACACAACCGATCAACATCTGAGTGATCTGCGACAAGGTGATGAACATGGCAAACTTGCGTGAGACTCTGAAGCCAGCAGCCCGCAAGGCATAGTAAGAGTACATAACGGCGTGCACTCCGTAGTTCATGGTCATGAACCAGCCACCGCCAGCCACCATGTCCTTGTAGGAATACCAAGAATAAAGTAACACAGTAATATGATGGTACCAGTGTAAGAAGATGAGCTTCTGTTTCCTAAGAATAATGAATATTGTATCACCTGTAAAAAAAAAAAAAAAAAAAAAAAAAAAGGAGGGGGGGAAAAGAAAAAGAAATTAAAAAGTTTTAA